TGTGTGTGTGTGTGTGTGTGTGTGTGTGTGTGTGTGTGTACAGTGTGTTAGCAAATGAGGATATAGGTCTGTGCGTGTGAATGTATGTGTCTACTTAAATAGGCTTATTGCTGTTTGAGCTGGTGAGCAAGGAAAAAGGGTTAAAGGAGTCCACGGACAAGCGGTCATGCAGGAGCATGAGCTTAACTCAGACTGGGTCAGAAGAAGAGAGGTAATGGGAGAGGGTGGGAGAGCTGCCTCTGCCCTGATAGGTTACTGAATACTATCCTGGGTCAGGGGGTATGATACATAACTTTTAGGGAGTGGTTATAGATGGGGAGACAGAATGGTTGAGGGGAGTGGCCCTTCATGTGGGGTTGTTGGACGATATCAATTCATTCTTTGTTTCCTGACTGCCTGTTGAACTCCTACAATACAACACAGGTGAGTGTGTGTCTCTGATAACGCTGGATTTGAAGTCAAGGTTTGCGCTTTGGTCTGAATATTGAATTTCAAACAAAATCATGTGGGGGGGCAGAAACGAGTCCCCGATTTGAGGCAGACACAGGCAGACAGAAAGTGACAGGATTCCTCAAGTGCTTTGGGATTTTCCCCAATTCCCACCTTCCACACTGAGGCACAGAGGGGAGGGAGGGAGGGAGGGAGAATAATGGGAGGGATGCAAAGGAGGTGGGCTAAATAAGAGAGGAGGGAACAGGGGACACGGAAAGAGGCAGGATAAAAAAAGATTCAGACTCTTGAGCACAGAGTTGAAGCAGGTGGTCAAAAGAGTCAGTGCAGATATGCTCTGAGAGGAAGTGAAACGTGTTGATTGGATAAAGAGTGCGAGCGGCCTTTAAAATAGATTAAATGCTCAATTTCCAGCAACGCAGGGCTGTGGATGGACTATTTTGCTGGTGAGTTGCACTTATTTTGCTATTATCACACATTGTTTTCCCTTTGGGTGTGAAAGGCCAGAGATGCTAATGGTTTAAACACAGGATAAAATAAATGGAATTTAATGTAATTCTTTGTAAAGACATGCTTTTAGTCATGTGTTGTTTGCATTCAGGCTTTTTACTCTCATTAAGAGTTTATTGAAGCATATGAAATAAAACTGTACATCTGTACACTGTGGGCTAATGGTATTAAAAGGTCAGCTGGTATTTTTTTTGCTAAGTCTAATTTAAGCCATGGTTTTGACAAAGAAGTTCTGACATGACCTTTTATAACTATACTATACTAAGAATGTTCTTTTGTTAAACTTTATTGCATGTGTTGCCATTTAACATGCTACAAATTAATTTGATTAAAAAAACCCAGCAACAAATCTTCTAAGCTAAAATATCCTTAGACATTTCATTTGTTATTACTAATTATTATTTAAATGTCCTGCATGTTATTTGTTGATCAGAAATACCACCTCACAGCAATTAACCAGCCGCTGATGAACCAAATTAAAAGTTTGACAACTCTATTATCTAAATGTAAACACACCTGATCATGGTTGAATGAAAACTCATTAGTGCCTGCATTCCCTCTTATAAGCGCTTTCACCTCGACACAATAGGTTTGTATAGAGACAAGAAAGCCTCAGTCTGGGAAGGCACGTTATCAGTAGCATTGACTCACAAGAGGCTACACAGCTCAACTCAGCTGCACGCCATTGTTGTGCTATTTGCATGGGCCAATATGATAACGGTCACCTCCCTGTGCTGTGGCTGTAGCTGGCTTCATTGAGTCTTCCCTCACTTCACCCTCACATACAGACATTTGTTTAATTTGTGCGTTTCCACTGTTATCTCAAACTCTTAAGCCCCTTTCCCACTGGTTAAAAAACATCCACTTTCCTACTGGCAATGGAAAAAGATCCAATCAACCTGTAGGACCGGTATTGAGATTCTCCTTAAAACAGTGTTAAGTTGTTCCTGTCCTGTGTATAAATAATTAGTGACTGCCGATGTTTTAATAGATCCACTCCCAAAGAAAAACCAGAACTTACATCATCAAAGGCCATATTAGTTTCTTGTCATCTTTTTGGTCTGTTTAACATAATTAACTTATTCTGAGTGCTTGAACAGACAGCCATTCTTAACCAGTCACCAGTTTTAATATCGTCTCTGATCAGTGTACTGCTGCCACTGTCTTTGAAATGTTGGGCTGGTCACATGACTTGTGGTGAAAGGCAGGGTCAGAGGTCACAGAGATGGATGTGGGCTTAAGATTACAGCCTGGGGGGGTAGGGTTAGGGTTAGGGTCAGCATGGTCGGGCTGCCTTTCAAGTGAGCAGAGAGGCAGAGCGCAAATCTAAACGCAAACTTTTTGTTTTTTTATTGAAGTTCCATGTTATTATCCAGTTATCAGTAACAGAAGGAAACCTTGTGTTTGGAATAAAGGTGTCAGAGGTCTGATGGTGGGCTCACAGGCCATGTTATGATGTTGAACACCTGAAACAAGAGAAAGAAAAGATGGACTGATAGACTGATAGAAGTGCATTTAATACCTAATCAGTCAAATAAGGGTATGGGTAATTTCAAGTCAGACTGCGTTGTGATCAGTGGAGACAGAGAATGGCCCATTCAGAATTTACCGGTTTGACCTGCTCCTCATTTTCTTTTTGCTGAAAAATGGCAGCCTTGCTTGCCATACCTCTGCTAAGGATAATAAAAACATTGTGAACACGGACAAATCTCAACAAGAATTCATAGCAAAAATCATGTGCAAAACGACAGCCAACAAAGTCAGTCTGAATTATACCTGATTGGCCCCATTGTGTCTCCTGTTTGTCCTGTTGCATCTAATGTCGGATCACCTCGCACGTTTTGGTGGTAGCAACGTGTTCTTCTTTTATGGTTTAATGTGGTTGGCAAACAGCTTTTAGTTGCACAACCACCACCTTCAAACAGTAGCAGTAGTAACACATTTTTTTATAACAGGCATCTGTAAAGCGAGAGAAAAAATATTTTTTAAGACAATAGTACTAGAAACTCACTGATTTCAAAATTTGAGATTCACGACCAGTCACTACCTGAGAGCAGTTAAAATCACTGGAAGTGTAACAGCTGAAATCATTTAAAATGCTTTTTGCACTGCTGACAGTTGATCTACCCCCAGTGTTTATATAAACATATACTACTAAATGGTTGTGTTGTTCCTTAGTTCTGACATCAGCTAGAAACCCTTAAATTCACCTCTGAGGACATGTTGACTTGTTGAGGATAGAGTCTAGAACAAACCCGGCTGCGGCCCCCTGAGCGTGACACCATTCAGTGACGCCGCTCTTTCCAGGATGTCCACAATGCTGCCAAGTTGGCACTGCTGAGAAACGCTGAGGTAGTGGTACCATAGCAGCACTGTAAGCAGGGCACTGTTCATTAAGGGTTGCTTCACCTTGCATTGTTTGTGTCATTGAGGCAACAGAGGAGAGCCATAGAAAAAGGTTTGCAGGAAGTTTGCCAGAGAGGCAGTCAACTTAAAGACTGGTCAATGCAGATGGTCAGGTCCATTAGTGAGAGGGAGCTCAGAGGGAGGAAGGCCACATTTTTTGCAGCCATTCAGCGAGAGCCAGACACACAACCAGAGCCTCCAGCTGTGGTTTCTGCAGCCACAGCCTCAGCCTCGACTGTACCAGTAGCTGTGATGTCATCTCAGAGCAATTCCTTCCCCTCTTCTCTTCCAAACCCTGCTGTCTGTTGAGAGACCCCACACAAAAACACACACATACACTTTTTATATCCCATCTATTCGATCCCTGTCTTAATAAACAATTTGGAAATGGACTTGATAGCTCACAATATCACATTACTCCCTGGCACAATGTATACAAAGCCTGTTTTGTATTGTAAGGATACTGCTCAGTCAATGGGACTGTTTTTTTGGTGCAGTGGGAGAGCTGACAAATGCAGCCCCCCCCCCCTCTTTAAACATGTAGAGTTTAAACTTGTAAGGTGACAGGCAGAGTTGTTTGTCTAACATTGTGTGTGTGTGCGTTTGTGTCTCCGTGGCTATTGGACGACGATGAAGGGCATGACTAGAATATGTTGAAGAGTCAGGGGTGTCATTAAGAAAGCGGTGGAATGACTGTGTGGGTTGCATTTCTCTTCTCTGTCCTTAAATCAAGAGCTTGAGAGCTCTTTTCTGTTTTGTGGCATTGCATTGACTCAAGAGTGCCATATTTAAAACAAAAAAATGGATGTAATTTTAATGGGATTTTGAGGCGGATGACCGGAGTGATACATTCTGCTCTATATTTTGCTGTTTTGATCCCTGCCACAATCCTTCAATCCTTCTCTCCTGTACCTTCGCCCCTGTCCAAACTCAGACATGCCACCACCACTCGGGTCAAGATTTAAACAACCATACAATTACCAAAACCCTGGAATCTGACTTTCATTCAGGCAGGCATCCAGACAAGCCGCAGTTCCTTTGGTAGACAACTCAGATTTCACTATTCTTGCCACCGGGGGGGCCCTCTGTTTCCAGTGAGAAAGTCTGACAGACAGTCAGCTGGGGCTGCCATAGAAAGCATTCACACTGAAACCCAGAACCATAAAGGCATAACCAGTCGTGGGCAGATATGTCAAAAGAGTCCTCTTAGAATGCAGGTCAGAGACGAGGCTGACCTCAGGCGTTGAAGAACGATAAGGAAAAAATGCTGGGGAGAGAGAGGAGGAGGGGAGGGTGTACATATACACACAGGATGTAAGAGGAGGGGGTTGCAGTGGCCAGACAGGCCATAGGGGCAAAGGCTGGTCCCCTGATGGGTGTCTTTCAGTAACACATTATTTTGTAATGCGTTGCTCCCTGTCGCTTTGTCTTTTAGGTTCTCAAAGAGCCTGTCAAGTTAAATATCAGGGAACAGGATGACTGAGCTGCGAATGCATGAATGCTGTAGGAACTCTGATGGCATCACTCATGACATTCAGTTCACAATCTTCAATTTATAATGATGTGAAAGGTAGGAGAGGATTTCTATGGATATTCTGAGTCTGGGATCCCTAATGACAGCTATTTCTGCAAGTGGTGTCAATCCAAGGACACAAAACTTCAGAAGTGATGACAGAACCTGCTTGTTATAATGCAGCAAGCCTCTCTTGTTTCTTGAGAAAACACATCATCTCACACTGAACTTTGATTACATACATACTAATACGTCTTAGTTTTAAAACTAAAACAATCTCCATCCAAGCAACTGTTTTAGCTCCAGTAATAATGCCCGTCCATACCAACGCACCTAAAACGAATATCACATGACCGTTCCCATACAATGATCATGTGCGTGCCGGTGTAAACAGGAGGCATATTGTCACTTTGCAGTTGGTTGCTCTTAGTTACATAAAAATGCGATGAATGAGAAACAGCAGATAACATATGTCTTTTCTTAAGCGCTTTTTCCACTGGTCAAAAAACCCACTAACATCTGGCTTTTGTCTGAAATGGGAATGGATACTATCGGCATTCACTCCCGGGTTGAATGACTCTGGAGTAGACACAAGTTTTTATCGCCTCTGGCTCCAATCTGCAGTGATGGTAACAAGACACCCGGATAAACACACTAATTTGACAAGTGAGTGAGAGAGAGCCTCAGTTTTCCGTGCATTTTGGGACATTGAAAATTATGCCCTGAGGAAAATTCACCTTTTTAGCGGGTTTATCCATGTTTAAATAACCAGTATTAGACTGACGACAATGTGCAACTGTCACTAACAATACGTGTTTGCAACGTTTTGCATTCGCCGCTGATAGTTCCCAGCTGATAAGAACCAATCAGGAAGGGATCAGGAGTGACATTGTTTCCAAAGGTCTCTGTTTCTGCTCGTCCAGACCACAGTGCAGGAATTTTTAAACTAAAACAGGTTATTATTTTTTAGTGTTTTTAGGTTTTTTTCCACCTTATATTATGTATATTCTATTTGTCTTGCTGGAGATGATGACATCCATTTTGTTTGCTGAGAGAGAACAGATGGCCAACATTGGCAGAGAAATCTCACACCAAATGCAAATATAGCACCTTGTTGTTTATGTGTCTGCGGCTGTTCTGACTGTGCTTGCTCTTCCCCTCTGCTTTAAAAGAACGCGCACCTCCTTCGTTGATGATGACGATGATGTCTGTTTTTTTGTGCTTGCAGAGAAGCAGAGATCTGCAAATGGATGCAAACTTGTAGGAGGAAGTCTGGTAGATTAATTGAAGACATGTTACGTCTCTTGTACTGTTTCTTCACAGTTAAAATATCTTCTCCCTTTAATGCGGTTGTTTTGTTTGTCTTCTAATTTAAAATGACACCAGATATTTGACCCCTAAAAGAAGCTGTTGATGATTCTCGGATAAACTATGACTAATCTTTATCTTTACATGTTTAAAACTTAATCACTTTAAAAACGCAGGATTAGTTATAGAGCGAAAAAGGCAGAGTGAACACATGTAATGGAGAATGTCAGGTATTGTCTGGAGAGGTTGTCCTTTAAGGCATGGTTGTCTGTCTGTCAGTGTGGGAAAATAACAGTTTGTGTGGTTCACCTTGGTGTTTTGTGCGTCTTGATGCGCACAGCTAAGAGTTGTGTGTGGATGGCTGCAGCTCTACCTCTAATTTAAATACACCACCTTGACAGCAGCTGTCTGGCACAACTGGACTTTCTGTCTTTTTAAGCCAGTTTGGTTAAACATGCTGCATTACACCATCTGTCTTGAATGTCACTTAATCTACCTGCCTTAATCTACCTCCCACCTTATCGTCTCTCTTTAGTGAGATGTCCTTTCAGGTGATAAAAACTTGTCACGTGTTCAACAATATGACTAAAACAGCAATCAGAGTTTATTAGTAGAGATAATGACAGGGTCAGCCTGGGGGACGCTGGATTCCAGTTCGCCCCACTAATACTAGAGTTATTATGGAGAAGTGAAAGGACAACAGTAAGGAGAGAGATGGGTAATAAGTACTGACTTTCTTTTTTTGTAAACCCTCTACCATGACTGTTTTGAGATGTAAAAAAAAGATGAGTCAACCAGCAGCAGAGGGAGAAAGGATTCTTCTGGCAAATGGTTACATGTGTTTGCCACGTCGCTCCAGCTGACTCATCTCCTCTGTCCGCCTGCTGTTCCTGCTGTCCTGAAGCTGCTGCTGAGAAGCTCTGAGAATACATCAATATCATTTCCCTGTGACTGTTGCTGCCATTTCCACGTTTCTGGAAAATATTTTGGAATCTGGGCAGATAAGATTCTGTTTTGAGAAAGCTGTTGCTCTGAGAGTCCCTGAGAAACCTGAGGCCGCTGACATCCAGGTGTTGTAACCTGGGAATGACCTGAGACCGACCTTTCCCATGTGGTGCTCCTTGGCCTTGATTGTAACTGTCTAATAATGCAATCATTAATAAACAATAGGATATATACCGTATGCTGCCATGAATATTCAGGGTTTCTTTTATTTTGCTCTTCCCTTCTTCAGATCCAGAATGCTGAGAAGAGGATGAATCTTCCAGGTCATCTGAGTCACCCACGTGTCTTTGCCGCTCTCCCTCCCCAACAGCCCTCTCGTCCCACTGGGGCACCATCTGCCTCCCCACACTCCCCCCATTGCCCCTGCCCGGCTCCCTCCCCCCTCCCCTGCCCCCAGTAGTGACCGTCCCAGAGGGGAGGAAAGGCGAGCCAGCCCCTGTAAATATGCCTGGATGGAGGTCTCAGTGGCGTCTCGTCCTGCTGAACTCCCTGACCTGTGGCCTGGAGATCTGCGTGGCAGCTGGGATCACATACGTGCCCCCGCTGCTGCTGGAGGCTGGAGTGGAGGAGCGCTACATGACCATGGTTCTAGGTAAGGGCTTGGTGATGACGGATATTGTGGGATCTGGTTACCAAGCCTCTTTGCTACTTCATAATGTGTTTGTCTGCTCTGGGTGTTTTGAGGTTCAATTCTACCTTTTTTTCCACATATACGCATGCTCTCATCATTTATCCTCTGTGATCCCTCTCTGACAGGGCATTCATTTAACTTGACACGAAACGGTGACACACACACACACACGCGCGATAGACTATCTCTGTCTAGTTTACTGACCTCATGAGTGATTGTTTCTTGTCTAAGTATTTCAAAATGATAGTTTTGCAGCCTTGAGTGCCACATATTCACCTTGTATGATGTGTTGTAATGGGATATAGGGAGGAAGAGATATTTGATTTTATTTCCCTCAGTCTGAATAGTTTGCTGAGGCGGCTACACTGAAACCATTGTAGAAATGGAAACATTATATCATTAGTTGCTATTAAACTAATAAGATATTATGAATCAGAACAGGCCGTACCGTCCAGGGGTTGAAGGTATTGTAAATTAGTTGGATTCATAAAGTACATGACCTTGTCCAGTGGTAGACACGTTTAAGTGCTGATGTGCAGGGGCATGACTGTGCCTCAGGCCTTCTGTCTTCCCTCCAAATTTAGGTCATAAAAACATAATTGAGGCCATTATGTTAATCGGGGGCCAACTCACCTGCTATTCTGTTAGGGTGATAATTGGGCACTAATTGAAAGGCAGCAGGAAAGCAAAGTGCCTGGAGGAGAGCCATGATCTCCAACACTCATACTTGGTTTGTCTTAGTGCAGTTATTGGATCTAACTTCAGATTAGACTATTGTAAAAATACAGAGCAACTATGAAATCATTAAATGCATCCTCCTTTTCTGTAGCTCCACATTTTGCTTTGCAGATCTATTGTAGATATATTAAGTCCTCATGGCATCTTCAGTAAAAACCAATTAGACTGTTGGTGTTGTTTGATCATTGAATATACTTTCAACACATCTATCACAGCTTTTCTATGGTTTTCTACAGTACCATGGGCTATATAGTGTCCATTGTGAAAGGACTGTCAGTCTCGAAAAACATCTTAACAGCATTTTACAACCAAATAAACTCCAAAGCAGTTTTATTATAGCAGCATTAAATAGGCATTCCAGACCTGGAGAAAACAACAACTGACACTACACTTAAGATAGGGTTTCGAGTAAGTGCCACAGAAAAGCATATGGGGACAATCAGGTGGGAAATATCAAACCTTGTTTTGCTTTCTGCAAGTATTTCTAAGATGTGAACAGTTCAGCTGTAGTGTAAACAGGGACTCAACTGCAAAACAATAGTTTAATTTTCAATTTCAGAAATTCATCACGTAGGCAGCTTTTGTTTGGTTGTGTCTTTAGGGAAAATGGTGAAAACAGAGAAGATTTTTTTCTGACATAAACTGTATCTGTCAGACTGCCTAAATCAAAGAAAGTTTTCAGCTCGCCAAGAAGCTTGTTACTGAAAATGTCCTGCTCTCCAAATAAGTATTATATTTGTAAAGCTGATAATATTTAATTTGTTTTGAGACTGTAAGAAAAATGTTGAACCGTATAGTCATTAGATACTGATATATCGGACAAAACTGGCAATGATTCTTAAGATGCTGTTAGCAAACCCTTATGACAAATCAATGTAACTGAGGCTTCAAATTCCAAAGAACTATGAATAATAAACAAAGCTAAATATAAATGGTTATAATTAAGAAAATAATATAATTAAGTCATAAAACTAAATGTACATGTTCTTTGAATTGTTAATTTAAAAGTTTTCACATCAGTCAATAAATAAATGTTTTAAAAACTAGAAAATAATGCAGTCCAACACAAAGCTAGGCACAGCCTCAAAAACTACCATACCAGCATAGAGCTGAGTCAGTCACACTGTCAACACAAACTGAACTTAGTAAAGTTGGGTGTGATGTTACTGTTTGTCACTGTTCGCTCTTTACACACAAGATGAGAAACAATTTACTGATATTATTTTACTACTAACTGCACCATCATACATGAGTCTGTGTGCCATGAGAAATAACTAAGCCTTTTGTGAGCAGTTTGTTTTCTGCTCTGTGCAACAGCAGATAAACTACAAACACTGGAGCAACATGCAGCCAACGACCACACACCATTATGTCTCTCGAACAAACAATTCAGTTTTGCTTGTGGTTGTATATTTGTTGGTTGTAGTTGCTCTTGATTTAAACTCTTCTTAATGTAAACATTAAGACAGACGGCTCTCTCTCTCTCTCTCTCTCTCTCTCTCATGAAAATGGTTGTTTGTGTTCCTTCTCACAAATCGGTGGCATGTATGTACATACACACAATTAGCATCACTCATATGGTATATATTTGCAGACTGTAACTGAGTTTACTTGTAAGTGATGTGAATAGTTGCATGGTCCTGTTGGCCCAAATGGTATTCATATGCTCTTCACTAAAGGCTTCTCTTTCAGACATTGTCTTGTGACTATACAGATGATAGATACAATTCTACCAAACCAAAAGGCTGCGTGTGGACGAAAGAAGTGACTATTCAAGTATAAAGATTAAACAATATACACTTCTACTCTTCGGCCTCTCTTAACAGCTGCCGGTGATATGAAGAAAAATGATTTCATTGTAGCATTCCTCCCAAACAGCCTGCACTGTTAGCCAATTTGGAAATGGCACTCAAACTAATTTTCATCTCCCTGTATTATAATGGAGTGCCTGAATGCAATTTGAATGAAGATAGATATTGTGTCTTTGGAGGCTTAAAGCGAATTTCCCCAAGCAATTGTGCCAGGTTCTCAGACGACTGCTTTCTACTTTATCTAATAGTCATTTGTTGGCTGCTTCATCCTCCAGTTTGATCTTTTTTTCTTAGTTTCCTCTGTATTAGTGTAAAAGATACACATTTCTTTTTAGCACCAAGGTTTCCACTTGTTGTGCATTTTATTAAGTTTATTTAGGTTTTTATTTAAGCAGCATAACACATTGTGGAATGTGACACATACACACATGGTTGGTTAGTGGGAGACAGTTGGTCTTACAGCTGTAGATGTTGAGGATTGTAATGATGGACCCCCACAGCTGCAGCAGGAAAAAATGTGGTGGAGGGTGATGACTGCGTATCTGACATGTCTATCTTTCTTAGATATCCCGCCTGTCTTTGTGTTTGTTTGTTTGTCTGTCTGCCTGTCTCCTTCATAAAGGCTAAAGAGCATCTGAAACGCAAATGTTGGCTCCCTTTCTCTGTTTCATTTTCTTGTTAAACAGGTAATTATGTGGATATGAGTCAGGTCATGCATTTTTTGCATAGACTGTAAATAAAGACAGATGCACTGTGGTGATTGTGAAGAATTGAAACTTGCTAGAAAACCATCTTTGAGAAACATTTCTTTGATGTATACTTTGAGTTTGGCCCATGTCCCATCTGCTAACATGGTGTAGTTAATGTTTATGACCTATACAGCAGTCAGCCAGCAGTGGGCGATCAAGATGTTTTGGCTTCACTTATGGGGAGAATCTATATAATCACTCTGTGGTCTTTGGTGTGAATTTGTTGACCCCTATTGGTGCTTCAGAGCAATGTTTCTGATGAGCAGCCCCTCAGTCTTTGTATTTTATGTTTATGAGAACGAGGGCAGACGATTTCAGTAAATAGCCTTTCACAAATGCCATTTTAATGAGAAACACTGAATGAAACAAAAGTGCACTTGTCTCTAATGAAAACTCCACAGGGTGCCTTTTAAATGTCACACTCTTGCCCCGAGAACTAGTCATTTTAGATATTGCGTGTGTCTGTGTGCGAACACCCATTGTGCCATGGCGTGCTCCAATTAACCAGACCTGGCCATGTGTGGAGGATGAGCTGACAGTGGCTTACATTCAGGCAGCACGGCATCTGTAGGAATTACCACCAGCAGTCAGTGATGATGTTGCAGGGACACATGCAGTACACCTCCCGGTAGGACAGCAACAAGGAGGATGAGACAGAAGCAGTAATATACAGGATTATTAACCATCAGTAAAATCACTGTAGTAGCTGCTGTAAGCTGAGTAGGTGCATGTTTTTGCTGTGGGTACTACCTGATAGTAAAACATGGCTGGAAGTACCATGTGAGATATAAGAGTTTTATATTTGCAGGTTGCTGAGAAGTTTTTAGTCTGCATTTGTTAGTTTTTTTGTTAGGTTGCAGGATTGAACAAATGTATGTTTATGTTTAGGGATGTGGTTCATTTCATTTATATTTTTTCTGTAGTTTCATGGTTTGATGAACAGGCTCTTGATTCAGAGAGATATTACACATTGTTCTGGTAACAGCGTATAGATATGAAGGAATTAACTTGTTATGACTGGCACAGAATTACAGGATGACTCAGTATCCAACGCCTGCACTCTAAATAAACACTTTATCAAACAAGATCAGAGATTAATCTCATCTAAAATCATATAAAATATGAAGAAATGCCTCATGCCTTTCTGATTTGTGTGTTCTGTAAAAAAAAAAAGAAGAAGTTCTCTACCAAATACTCCTATTTCTATTTCAGCATGTTTGGATTTATTTACGTTGTCCTCCCGCCCTCTGTATCTTTGTGTTTCTCCTCTTCATATTCTGTGCTTTTTTAAAAGTGTTTTCTTTGAATTCCTCTGGTGCAGGTATCGGTCCAGTGCTTGGCCTCCTGTTTATCCCTCTGATCGGCTCGGCAAGTGACCACTGCAACAGCAGTTATGGCAGGCGACGACCCTTCATCTGGCTGCTGTCTTCAGGTGTCCTTGTGGCACTTCTGATCATTCCCCATGCTGACATCTTGGCTGCTCGCCTTGCCTGGGGTGGACGCACCCTTCAGGTAGCACACCTGTTGGTTGATTGTTGAATTTCAGCTACAGAGCAAGATAATTCATTGTGTTTTCTACCATGGTTTTGCTTTTGCTGCAGGTGGGCTTCCTCATCCTCGGGGTGGGACTCCTAGACTTTTGTGGACAAGTGTGCTTCACGCCACTGGAGGCTCTTTTGTCTGACCTGTACCGGGACGAGGAGGACTGCGGTCAAGCCTTCGCCATGTTCTCTTTCATGGTCAGCTTGGGAGGATGTGTGGGATATTTGCTGCCTGCGCTGGACTGGAGTCATGGTTTACTCTCTGTTTACCTGGGAGGCCAGGCTGAGTGCCTGTTTTCCCTCCTCATCCTTATCTTCATCTCCAGCGTGCTCATCACCATGAAGGTGTCTGAGGAACCCTCATTTGCCAGCAGTGGCTTGGCAGGGTCTGGATCTTTATTGGAGTCAGGGGCTGGCGTGATGGAGGCTGGCCGCTGTGGCGTGCCACGCTCATGCTGCTACCTGCTGAAGTGCAAACTGAGGCTGCTTAAGTCAGGTCCCCTGCTGTGTTTACTGAGAACATGTTGGTCCATGACTCCAGCCATCTACAGGAGCTACTGCCACGTCCCACGAGTGATGAGGCAGCTGTGTGTGGCTCAGCTCTGCAGCTGGATGGCTGTCATGTCTTTCATGCTCTTCTACACAGACTTTGTGGGGGAAGGCCTGTACGAGGGCGTGCCCAGTGCATTACCAGGAAGTATGTCCAGGCAGCGATACGATGAAGGTCAGATTTCTTCTTTGTACATTCTGTTTAAGGAGGTTATGTTTTCATCAGCATGTATTTGTCTGTTTATTAGCAGGAAAACCCACAAGTACTATACCAATTTCAATAAAATGTGATGGAAAGGTAAAAGCTATGGCAAATGAAGAATCAAATCGATTTTGAAGTTGATAAGGCAGAACCATAATTTTCTTTTACTATCTTTAACAAGATCCGACGTTAGTGTTAGAGGAGGTATACTCTCTTTGAGTGCTCTTCCACTCCCCTAAACATTTCATTGCAAGCAGGATTATGCAAAGAACAACAGATTTTCTTGAAACTTGGTGGAAGAATGAACAAAGAAAGAACCCATTTAATTTGGGAGCAGATCCAGATAAAAGGGCAGATCCAGGAATCTCATCACTTTTATTATCACATCAGGCACTGTTACTGTCAATGATTTCCCAGGGAATAATTCATGGATCTTGAAGAAAGAAATCAGGCATATTTAGAAAAGTGATAATAATGAGTGTGTGCAATTTGGTGCAGGTTGATGGAATTTAAGGGAACTGTTGGGCCTCAGAGGAGGTATAAGCTCTGATTGACATTCTAGTATTGATTTCGCTTCGGCTCTGTTGACATCATTAAAACAATCTTTAATATCAAGTAGGATCATGAAAACAAACTTCCATTAAACTAGTAAGACATGTGTCCTCACACTTTATCATCACGTCTTTACCTCCACAACCTCCACATAGCTGGCTCGAGGTCCGTTCCGGCTGCGGTGTCTGCTGTCTCACAGCTGGGCAGGATGCACTCGCATTCCGCACAGGTGGAGACAGACAGAGCCTGTGTTCCTGCATGCCTACATGCTTTCTCGCGTCCCTCATATTGGCTCCTGTCAAGTTATAGGACACGTACAGCACAGAGCAGCAGTTAATAAGGACTCTGATTCAATGAGGCAATGAGCATTTAGTATAGTTCTACTGCTGAACAACAAAAAATCCTTTGGGTGAATATGCTTAAGTAAATATCAAGCCCATCAAATGTTGTTCAAGTGTTACTTTCTATTTGTACACCTGAGGAATTTAAAACAAATACACATGGTATATTCTGAACCTTTACAAATACCGTTATATAACCTTCAATTTAGAAACTCTAACTTCTGATAAAAACTGAACAGATCTGTTGTCAGAGATGTAAGAAGGTCAAAGAAGCTGCAGGAAGATTCTTTCTCTGGTGTATTTTACTAGACAACACATGAGCAAGACGGTATTTGCGATTCACAAAGGAAACAGAGGTGAGGCCTCATCTTGCCCCATATTGAGGAGCTGCAGGTTTACTAACACAGCAGGCCGAGTGAGGGTTAAGTATATTTAGGTCTACATGTGTTTACTGTTGAGCCAGACTTTTATTTTTTATTCCCTCTTTTCGCTTTTCCTTCATCTGTCTTTTTTGTACTTCAGCTTCCCCACTCATTTTTTCAATCCTTTTCAACTACTATTCACCTGTTTTCTCTTCCTCTAATCCTTGTTCACAACCTTTCCTTTTTCTTTTTCTTTTGACATTTTCATCCTGACATTGAAGAAAACCTCCCTCTTTCTCCCCCTTATTTTTGTTTTGTTTACTTTTTACTTTTCCTGTCTCTGTTCCCTGTGCTCCCTGGACCATAAGGAATGTCACACTCACAAAGAATTTATGTCAAAGAATCGGCACACAAAGAACATGTTCATTTAAGCCAGGTAGACGGCAGAAGCGCATAATTTTGAGCTCTGTCTGAGTCGTGTTTGTTTAATTTGAAACACAGCGGATGTGATTTAACCACATCATTCAGCCTGCAGATGTTCCAGTGCATGAAGGTAATCTGCTTTGTGTCTAGTTTCAAAGCTGCACTGGCTTTTCTACTCAATTTTAAACCTTTTTCTGATCATTTCTCTGCAAACTGTTGCACTGCATAGAAATGATCCGTCAAGCTCGTGTTCTATCAGCCACCTTCCCATCCTGCAGAAGCAGCTCTCCTGTAACACTCTGACTCAGTCTCATATCTCTGTGGGCTTGAATTTCAGTCCTCATTAGCCTCTGTAGTGTTTGTAAAGTGGGTTCAGCAGGGTAATACGATCCACGTACGCCTTTCACACAACTGATTCCCCTGCTCCGCTCCTGAACTTCTGACCCACGCTGTTCACTGAGATCAAGCAGAGATATCGGTCCAATAATGGGCTGCAATAAATAACAGTCCAGACATGTAGTCAGTCTGGCTTCCGTAGATTTTTACTTCAACTCAAAAACTTCATCAAGGGTTAAATGGGTATAAACAAGAAACATGGGAACAATTTCCCCATAGTGAACAAAATCCCACACTAAAATACACAATATTTCATTATTATTAAAAACTGGTGTTGTATGATTTTGTCAAGAGATGAAAATCTGCTTTTCAAATTCCACTCAAGTTCAAATGAAGAAGGAAAGTTCTGCTATAATTCTACTGCATTTGAAAAAGTCTATTTCTGGAGGAGTAGAAGTTGCAAGAATTTTGTTTATACCTTTACTTATAATGAACTGTATTTATAAAGCACTCTTCAAAGTGTTACAGGAAGAAATAAAACCAAGAAATTAAAATCAAGATACAACAACAGTTGAAAGGACATTGGTTTTGGAAAGAGAAAGGTTTTTAAAATTAGAAAGATTTATGAGAACCTGAGAGTGTGTCAGCAAGTTTTAAAGTGTGGGGGCTCCAAGAGCAACAGCTTGTTCTCGTGCATCAAATATTAGCAAATATACTTCTGTTAAATGTCACATCGTACTGTGAAAACCCCCCCTGCTTTCATGGGTTTAGATTTTTTATCAGATACTAGACATGATCCATCGCTACATAAATTAAAATCTGTCACTAACCTAACTGCTAATGTGTCGACTTGGGGAATGAAATATTTTGATGCCTTCCAGTCAGGAACATGAATTCTTCTGATGTTGCGTGAATTTTGATTTCGGCCTCGGTCTGTGGGTGAGACCTCATCCAAATGTTTGTTGTCCGGCTGGCTCACTGGACTAGACGCGGGCCAGGAAGCGTGACGCCTCTGTCAACATGGACTGGCCTGTGCGTCTCGCCTCTTAGGGTTTTCGAGGATTTATCTAAGGTTAATGCTGTTTGTGAACATCCAAGTCAGTCACCGCAAACAGTGTCTCTGTGCTGAGCAGCTCTGTGAGTGACTCTCTGACTGGATCTGTGCTGGTGTGTTTGTGTTTTTGAGCATGGCGAAGCTCTCCGAAGTTCACACTCACACATACTGCTGGAGTTGGGCATGTTGTGTATTAGAGCACAACCAGTTCGTCAGTTGGCCATTAAAAATCAACCGATATGATTTTCACGGACATTATGGTATCTGCGCTTTTTTGCCGAAATGAAAACCTTGATTTTTCACAAAACAATGCAGAAAACATTTGCATTTATGTTTGTATCTCTTGTAAAAAGGGTTTAATCTCTTAATTCAAGTTATGTGAATAGTTGGTTGTTTCTTTTTATCTGTAGTCATTTATAATAACGCTTTTGGTTAAACTTCAAAATATCATATTTGGATCTAAATAGAAATATTAGCCTTTAATATGCCTGATTTTTTTTTTTTTCATCAAGTTCCATTAATTATTCTCTGGGAAATTAATGATTCCTTCATCTGTATCCACACCATCATTGAATGTGATCTTCTTTAGGTCATGCCCCACCTCTCCCAAAAAAAATTCATAAAGATCAATTGGGTAATTTTTTTTGCATAATCCTGCTAAAAAACTATCAAGCTAACCAACAAACACAAGAGGTTCAGTCCCTGTTACAGCTGTGAACTTCCTGGTTGTAATGTTAAGTACCCTCTCCTCTCAGGTATCCGTATGGGCAGCCTGGGCCTGTTCCTGCAGTGTGCTACCTCAACCTTCTTCTCCCTGGTCATGAGTCACTTGGTTAGGCACTTTGGCTCACGCTGGGTGTACGTGAGCAGCATGGTGAGCTTCACGCTCTCTGCTCTGGTCATCTGCCTGTCAAAGAGTGTTGTCTTGGTCACTTTCATGGCAGCTCTTACTGGCTACGCATATGCCACGCTGCAGACTCTGCCTTACACTCTCACCTGCCATTACCACAAGGAGAAAGAGGTAAAAACAGATCCTAATGACTTTATACACAAGGTTACTGTGTGGACAAACTATCACTGACGAGTCTATTCTTTTCTTCTCTCATTTCAGGTCTATATGCCAAAAAGGAAACCCAAAAGCATACACAAAAATGGTATTACAACCAAGCGGGACTCTGTGTATTTGACTCCTGTGGAAGAGGAGGGTGGACTGAACCACAAAACGGGGGTTCCTTATGGACATGCCTTCCTCAGCCAGGACGCTTACGAGTACTACCCCACCCCACTCAGCCAGAACGGCTCCTCTCACAGCTCTGGCGGCACCGAGCCGGACGAAGCGGAGTTGGGGTACGAGAAACGAGGTGTGGGTTTGGACTTTGCCATCTTGGACAGCACCTTCCTCCTCTCTCAGGTTTTCCCCACCCTGTTCATGGGCATGATCGTTCAGTTCGCACAGTCCGTCACTGCCTACATCGCCTGCTCCGCCATCTTTGGTGCTGTCGCCATCTACCTGGCCAGTCATATCGTCTTTGAACAAAAGGACCTCAAATGCTGAGATTCAGGGTGAAAGACGTGGGAGTGATTGAATCATAAATAATCAAAACAATCATTCAGGTTTCATGGGTTGAACTCAGCAGTGCACTACTGTTCCCAGAATGCCTTGCTCTACGACTGTGCTTGCTTTTATGAAAGCTAAAGGAAATGTGTGAGAAAGTGGCTGATAACAGAAAATATTCCTTGTTACAGCCGGGATCGTTACCTGCCAGCTGAGTCTCTGTACTGAATACTGTTGAATTCTATTGAAATCCCCCTAAAAACCTTTTTTTTGCGACATCTTTCCTGTGCATTTTCCTCAGGTACTAGATTTACTGTAGAACTCACCAACCTCAGAAACACAGCTAATGGTTCTGTCCACAGGTTTTCAAATTACAGTCTGTATTCAACACGCAAAACAACACGTCAAACACAGTATAAGCAGGTCATGTGTTTCATATAGTGTTTTACCTGTTCAGAAAATAGAAAAGGAAATAGGAATGGGATCGTAGGACTTGTCCGTCCAGGATGAAAAACACACTTAAAGGAGTACTGATTTAGTCGGGGGACAAGTCAACTTGTCATGTCAGTTGACTTTAGAAAAGAACCCTGATGTGTGTAAATTGGGAGAATGTTTCTTTAATTGTTCAGCTGTAATTTGATGCTAGCCTCATCTTCTTTATTTCCCCTCGTAAATGTAATCTATTACTGAAAGAACAGATTTTGCTGCAACTATTTTGAAAACAAATTTACTTTGCGTCCCTATGGGAATTAAGTGATGCAACCTGTTGAGGTGAGGTTATCGATGACGGTGGTTGGAGAAAGAGTTAGTTGACTGGAGCTGGAATACTGCATCAAACGTCCTCTGTCTGGATAATCAAGAGTAGTCTCCTATAGCGGACTGCTCATCCTGATACTTCTGATCAGGACTCAGGTATGTTCTGTGTCCCATTCTTTCATCGTGCCACTGACCTGCTGCCAAGACCTTCACGTGTTGTTATATTCTCAAATGACAATCTAGGAAGTCTGCATGGTCACTGATCAGAGATATACTTGGTTTGAACTATGCGTACGCATCATGGCTGCTTTGCGTATCCTGTTTGGTGCATCGATTGTGCACGTCTGAATTTTGTGCTGTGCCCTTTTGTGGAATACTCGGCAAGTATGTGAACAAATGTGTTTATGACATCTCTAGTTGTCTGTGTACTTGCACAACAGGAAGTATATCTGCAGCCTTGTAGTGTAATGTTGTGTGTAAACAGTAAAAGATGAAGACTGATGTCTTGAGAGGAGCCCCCTCTATTCTTGAAAAGACCAAAAAACGTCAGGCAGCACATGGAAACATTCAGTCACTGAAAATACTGTGAGAGGAGGCATTGGTGGGCTGAAGGCCAAGCTGGAGTTTGTGTGTGTTTGTGTGTGTGTGTGTGTCTATGTGTGTGTGTGTAAAGCATGGAGGACAAACAGTGAGAAAGTAAAATGACTAATATCTAAGTGCGAGGCAAATTTATTAAGACTTGAGCATGTGCTGTTTTTTCCACATTCAGCCCATATGAAGCTGTATGTTATAATTAATGTGTCGTGGCCTTATTGAGCTTTTCAAACCGGCCAGTTGATGCAAACACTTTGCTTGTGTTACAACTGGTGCGTGAGTTCATTCGAGCCTCTTGTATCAAGGCTGTGTGATGAATTCGGTACAGCAGATTCAAAGAGTCCTGAAGGATTTTGTTGCCTGAAGTGCGCTCAGCAGGGGAGGAGTTAAAACAGCAGAGGATTTGTTTTGTCATGTTGACACCACTGCTGAGTAGAACACTTAGAAAATGATCATTTGCCTTTCCCCCTCTAAAACGCACACAAAAACGTCGCCTCGCAGTAGCTGAAGTGTAAGGAAAAAATGGTTGTTGTACAAGTGCCTGTACATTTTTTCAAACATTTTGTACATATGTATTTATTTATTTTGCTTTTCTTACAAAATAGCTCCTATTAAACTATTTGCCTCTGTGGCATCTTTCATGCGAGGGTGAAGGCTGTTTCTGTGAAAGAGATAAATTATTTGTATAGATGTGGTATAGAAGCATCCTCAAAGCTATAATTTATTTTAACATGACCCCCTCCTTATCCTGTAGCTTTGGTTACATCATTGCTGATATCTGCTGTCAAGTGTGCGTCGAGTCAGCTGCAGAAAACCCTGTTGTCTTTAACCACATCTCGTCAAACTGTCGCAAATCAGATGTTTGGTTCTTCTTCTTTTCTGGCGCAAACAAGAAACCTCGTCATTGTGTCAATTCTGCTTAATCTGGGAATTATTTAACCACTTGTTTCTACTTATCAGAGTTTTATTGTTTAACGTTAAACACACTCACTGTAGGTGGAGCTGTTTTCTGTCCCTGTTCTTCTAAAACAAATATTGTGTTTGATTTAAGACAAAAAAAGTCTTAAGGCCAGAAATCGACATATTATGGTGTGATTCATCAGGTTTTTTTGTGTTATTGTCATAAATGCATTCAGCCATAACAAAAAGTTGTATTTCATTTTCATTATAAAATCATATTGTGTATAAATATGCAGTTACCAAATAGATTTTTATACAAAATAAAAGAGCTGCATTGTCAATGAGATGTTGTTGATTTGTTATTTGCCATTATTTTAACTTTGGAACTAAATATTACATAAAGGTGTCAGTAGAATTGGTTTAGATAATTGTCAATCATTCAATCTGACATGCATTTTGATCAGACTCTTTATTTGTGGTCTGGAAGCTAAAACCTCCAACTTTGCTCCACTTCACTTGCATAATATTGGGAACAGGTAAAGTTCAGACTTTGTGCTATTGAACGCTAGTTGATTTGCATGATTACAAATGGAATATTCACTCCAATATTGTAAACACCTGTTGGGTTGGAAATTAAATCTTGTTTATTTTGTGTTGCACTAACATCCATACTGACACCTACAATGTACACCCGGTAATGTGCAGCACCCTCTCCACAACCTTTTTTACCTTTACATAGATATCAAGATTATTCGTGTGGACCCTGTAATTGCAGAGGTTTACACTGTTTGTTTAAGGCCCAGGTCTGAAGAGGTTGATGCAGTTTGGTCTGAGAAGGCTGCCCAGTGTCTTACACCTTGGAAATGGTGCCATCCTTTGGAGATCTTGGGTAACTGGAGTGCGCAGGAGAAACTGCTCCTGGTGCGCAACTGCACCGGCCCCGCTGACGCATGGGCATGCTGCTGTTGGCATTATCTATTACATGGAAAAGACGATAGGCTTTCATGTTGCAGGGAATGGCACGCTGACAATGCGTGCCATTTCATGACGAGCCTCTCCAGTTTGCTCCTCGCACTTCTCACGAATCCACCATTATGGAAATGCATGGGTTACAGTGCACCTATAAAAACATGATACTTTATTAGAATGCCACTCTGGGCCTCAGTTACATCGCCATGGAGCTGAGGAAGGGGGGGGCTCATATCATGTCATGCTGGTGTCTTGCTCAAGGACACGTCAGCAGGGCGGATACTGGCCGACACCGAGGTCCTGAACCCTGATCTTTGCGCCTGACGCGCCGCTGGCTCACGTGTCCAGCTGAGGTGTGATTTTTTTTTTGAAGCAGAAAAACACATGTTTTTAGAGAGAAAGTTCTTGAACGCTGCAGCAGACCGGCGGCCCACTTGTCTCCGGTGACAAGTGGGCCTGTTTTTACACCTTCCTTCTAAATAAGGAAGCGGCCTGACAGACATATGACCACCGACCCAATTTGGGAGCGTCCCCATCGCGTCCCACGGCCGCTGAACGCCACCAATAAGCTCTCTCTCCCTCCTCCAGTCCGACAGTGACAGCAGCCGATTCCCCCTCAACTCTCCACACACTTGCTATTTTTCCCTGCTGTCAGCACCTTCCTTTACCCTTGTGTTATCCCGGCGGCGGAGTCAGCATGATGTCATGGGATGGGATGCGTTATCCCTGGCACGGGTGAAACCGGGTTTTTCGGTGAGTGGTGACGGATTTATTCTCAACTCTTGCCGGGAGAGGGGGAAGAAGCAGAAGAGAGAGAGAAGGAGAGTGTGTGTGTGAGGAGAGAGAGGCGCGGAGGAGCTGCGAAACATGGTAATCACCGACATCACCATCACCTCCAGCTCTGCCGCGCACTCTCCCGTCTCCTCTCCTCCTCCGTACCGGGGCTCGCGTCTCATGCCCGCAGCCCCGCTCCGCGCTCCCAAAATAACCCGCCAGCATGCCGAAGGAAGCAAAACAAGAGGAGCGGTATTTTTAGGGTCATTAATTTCCACCACGTGGTCCGGAGGTAAACCGGATGGCCGTTGCGCAAAGGTTCCGCGTCAGTATGTCCTGCGAGGCCGGCACGCCGCACCGGACGCTGACCGCGGCGCTTCTCCTGGGCTTTCTGCTGGGGGTCGCGTCGGCGTACCCGCTACCAGGCAGGAGGAATGCAACTTTGGTGGAGACGCGCTGGGAGACCCTGTTCTCCCGCTCGGTGCTGGGGATCTCCGGGGAGAAACCGGAGCTGAACTGGGAGAGTGACTATCTGCTGGGCATCAAGAGAGTGCGGAGGCTCTACTGCAACGTGGGCATCGGGTTTCACCTCCAGGTCCTCCCCGACGGCAGGATAAACGGTGCACATAATGAAAACCAGTACAGTGAGTTCTACACCTCCACCGATGTTAATGCAATATCCATGAGAGAGAGAGAGAGAGAGAGAGAGTCAGGGTCAATACGCATGAGTCTGATGAGCAGCCTGCCTGTATCCCCTCTATTAACCTGCATGATCATCCTTCTCTTGGGGGGGGGGGAGCGCTGGATTTCTCCAACTGCAAAAGACAAATCTATTAAAACAAGTATCCATCAGCACTTAACACCCCTCACCCACCTCCCCCCCATCTCCTTCTCCCCCCTCCTCCTCCCCAGAGCTCAACCATGACATGAATGTATGGACGGTTTTAGACACAACTTATTTTTACGCAGCAGCAGCAGCAGCACCCCCCCCCCCCCCCCCCCCCCCCCCCCCCGTGAGGGCGGTCCAGAGACCAGTGGCCGTGCACGTCAACGCAATATCCCCCGCACAATAATTGCAGATAGCCAGGATTGCGCGTTTAATTGACGCGCACCTGACATGTGGAGATGAGGGTGAGAGGATGCGGAACAAAGGCTCGGCTTGCTGGGCGCAAGGATCCGCAAGGTTACACCCATAAAGGCGCAAGAGAGAGCACGGTGGCTCTGCATGATATAATCAACCAGAATCAGGGTTTTCTATTATTATTATTATTATTATGACTCTAATATGATTTTCTTTGTCCCCTCCAGCTCTGATAGAGATCTCCACGGTGGAGCGAGGGGTGGTGAGCCTGTATGGGGTGAGGAGTGAGCTGTTTGTCGCAATGAACAGCCGTGGGAGGTTATACGGAACGGTAGGTATGCACAGTATTTCCTTTATTGTCCAGCAATAACAGGAGGCAGAAAATAGGACACAGCCTGCAGCTCCCTGTGTTTAATTTGTGTGCCATGTTTTTTGGGGATGGGACTCCTGCTCCATCTGTCAGCAGCGGGGGGCTCTGACCATTACGCACTGGGAAAATCCATACATTTTCATTTCATCGGGAAATTCTGAGGCTCTATTTAAAGCGTGTGCGCACGGCCCCGGTGGCCTGTGGATAAATAATGATGAGGGGAACAGATGCAGGGTTTGAACCACACACGCCTGTAGTGTTGTCCAGTGTGTGTGTGTTGAGAGAGAGAGGGGAGAGGGGGGGACCCCTCTTAGCAAAGAAATCTGTCAGCAGAGAAGGAAATCAATTATAACGTTAAAGGGTTTATTGAGCACTGAGCACATCCAACATGCAGCTCCACTCACACACATCACCAGCACCAACAGGCCTCAGTTCAACCCCCGCAACACTGAAACATTACAGGTGCATTTATCTTCAATGCTATAGTCTCATCTTTGTTTGATGGAAGTTTTGAATTTCGAGTTTAACCATATCTGTAATACTGTGGAGCGAAGGTGCATTTGTCAGGACCCGTGTGCACGTCACACAAACAGTCATAGTATCTAATGTCCAACAATCAAACCTGTTTACCTGCCAGTTTGGATCTTTCTTCTCACTCACCTCTGGAAAATGTCTCATACATACATTTTACTCCACAGTTTCAGTTGTCCCCACACTTGCATCCTCATGTTGTATTTGACAGTTTACATTCAGCCCCTTTTACTTTGTCTTATTTTAATGTAATTATTTGCACCAATTCGTTCTCGTCCAACACGTTTTATTGTTCTGTTCAACCTGTGTTAAGTTAAACATGGCAAATCAAACTTGCAACTTAAAATATTTTACAAACAAGCAGCAGATTCAAAAGGCAAGTGCAGCAGTGCTATAAAGAGCCTGAGTGCAAATCATTTAAAAGAATAGATATAGGTATCTTTTCATACAAAATACTCATAAAACGTTCCATCAGTGTAGTTGGTTCCAAGCTGGTAACCATGGACACCCTCGACATTCTACGTGTAATCTGATGGGAGATTTTCTTTATAGCTTAAAAACACTGATGTGAGTATCTGATAAAGAATTGTATACAAGACAAAAGAGCAAGAGCTTCATAGTATTATTGTACTGAAGAAGTATTCCTCAAAGACAAAGAAGAAAGGCATTCAGTTTTATTGGTCTGAATACAAACACTCACCCTGTTATTAACTGTGAACTCTCAGAAGAGTTGTAATCACAATAATAAAACTACATCTTAGTCTTCCACGAATTTGCCAACGGTCTTATTGGATGAATTAAAGTTCCCAAAGGCCAAAACTTCATCCTGTTGCTGAATGTGTTGGACAGTTTTATTACTTGCATATGAATTTATTCTGACAAATTTCAAAAGTTTAGATGACAGTAAATTAACAAGGAAAGAGTTAGTCAAAATGGCACTCAGTAGAGCAAGCACCTCCGCCCAGGCCGAACAGTCCCCTTAAATCAAGCTGCACCAAATTGGACACACTCAGTCCTCTAAATATGTCTGATTCTTTTCATCGATAGCCATGAAGTATTCCCTGGGAAAATGGTGTAAATGTTAAAAAACGCCCATACTTGTAACGGAAAGTGAAAAAAGAATTCCTGGATCAGCCCCCCTATTCCGGATTAAATGGGTTCTTTGTTGATCTACGTTCAATCCTTCCACCAAGTTTTGTGGAAATCCATCCAGTAGTTTTTGCGTAATCCTGTTCACAAACAAACAAAATGACAAACCAACAAATAAACCATTGACCCCAGTCAACATAACCTCCTGGGCAAAGGTCTTCAACCATAGTAATTGTACATACTTCATATTGACACGTTTCTTTTTCTCAGATGCTCATGATTCCAATTAAATTCAGATATTTTATTGCAATTAAGTTTCTCATGCTCCCATGTGTTATTTTTAATCTTATTATTTTTGAACTGTAATGCTTCATGGTTGAAATGATGAATTTCTTAAAGTTGAACTTGAAATCTTAGATCCACAAAGATAAAGTGTATTTGTAGAATCCCTGGTGATAAACTCTTGCAGTAGTTTACTTCCAGAACAACGGCAGCTGTTAATATATGAATGTTCAGTTTCGGTGGGCGGAGGAAACGTTGTGTTTAGCAGAGCCCCGCTGACATGTGGCTGCTGGTTATCTCGCTGTGGCCGACATATTTGACAGACTGAATGTGAGTCGGTTATCTGGTCATGAGTGATGAAGCGTTAGCTCGCAGGCCGGCCGCTGATCTGATAAGAGATTGAATTAGACCAAATGGTCTCTGAAGGACAGTATTTGCTGCTGCACGCTGTGTGAGTCATGAATCATCTGCTCAGCAGCTGTAATGTTTTTATACAGACAGATATTTAGAGGCTTTACGAATTTAAAGGGACTTCATGTGGGAAGCAGAGACCAGATGTTAGTGTTTCTCTTCTACCTGAAATCTTCCAGATAATGTCTGTTTTCAAATTTCTTTGGTTTTAAAAATGTTTAGTTTGTCATTTTCAGAATAAACACGTATGAGAATAAGGAAACAGTTAGATTGGATTAGATTTAGGACTGGAAACAAGTGGAAAACTAGTCTGGTTCTGTCTAAAGGTAAAAATAAATATTACACATAAATATGTGTTGGACGGCTCATAATTCAAAGAAAACTTTGGACTGGTGGTAGCCAGAATGTTTTCTTACGGCAAAGTAAATACTTACTGTAGCTTCATATTCAGCAAACAGACATAAATCATACCTGACAGAATCATGTGCTGGTCAGTAAAAATCTGCCGATATGAACCTTTCACAGACACACAGGTTAAGGTTAGGGTGCCAATGTCTCAATTTGAAAACTTTTATTTTACAGAGAAATCAATGCAGAAATATTTACATTTAAGTTTGAAAATTACCATTTTATTCATATGTGATTGTATTTCTTTTTATTTGTAGTTATTTACAATGAATTTTATGGTTGAACTGTAAAATATCAAGTCTCAATTTAATTTCTTTGTCAGTAACATTTGATAACGACATCATTGGCAATTTTTTCAACATATACACTTTGGCTGATTAATCAGTTATTTTACTCCCTCATGAGTATTGGTTTCAAAAATCCATATAGTTTGTTCCAGGCGTATTCTCCTAAATATGAAACTATTCTTTTAAGTTCTGTTTGTGTTTCTGTAAATAAGAATCATTTGTTGTCTAAATATCACCTGAATTATTGGATGATTAGAAAAGTGAATGTATTTTGATACAGAGGAGCAGTCAGAGCTGCTGGGAGACTGAAAAAAGAACTCTACATTATCACTGCGTTCATTCGTCATTCTCGTCGCTGTGTCTCATCTAAATTTATCTTGATATTTTTGTGCATCGCTCAGAATCTTTTGAAAGAGCCTTTTAATGTTTTCTCATCAAAGCTTCAGACAAAAACTCTTCACTAACCTGAAGTCTGCTCTCTTTGTCTCCTTGCAGACAGTCTTCCATGACGAGTGCAAGTTTAAGGAGAGCTTGCTCCCGAACAACTACAACGCCTACGAGTCTCTGGTCTACAGAGGCTCCTACATAGCACTCAGCAAGCACGGCCGCGTGAAGAGGGGCAACAAGGCCACCACTGCCATGACTGTGACGCACTTCCTACCGCGAATATGACGAGCAAAAACTGGCAATAACAAACTTATTTGCACATGTGGATTATTTCCCAGGTAACACGAACACCGTATACGTACAAACACGAGACAAAGCGGACTGAACAAGAAAGAAATACAGTTATATCTGATAGTATTTATTCAAACTTTATATGTATATTTGGGTAGCTTACTTTGTATTAGGAAATTATGGAAATGCCATTCTTTGCTGCTTTTATGATTTTAATCATTTTGTGATGTGAAGGAGACGGAGAGGCGTCAATTGTCCCCTCGGTTTTTTATGGGTGCTGCAATGCTGAGTGCTTGCCCTGTCAGTGGATGACAGTTCCTCCTTTTTGGAAATGAAACGGATACGTTATTACCTCAAAGTACCATATCCTGAGAGCAAGAGGAAGAAGAAGAGGAAAGATGTGTGCATGAACTTTCTACAGATTTTTGTGCTTTCGATAAAGAAATATTTTAGTTGTCATCTGTCAAGAACTTGGGACATTTCCCTGTAGGCTATGTTGGATTGTGTCCGTCACTGTCAGGGCAACTCGTGCACTTGCAAAGTATGGCGGTTGTTTTTCTTGCTTTGTCATGAGGTGGTGGTGCCTTGAATTCCTACTTGCAGCCCCCTAACCCCTTGCATGCGAGAAACGTGGTGCTCGAGTCAGAAATAGGAGTGAAACGCAATTCATCGCTCTCACAGGCACCACTGGCCCAATTCCTAGAGGGCCGGAGGTTTCTCCGCTTTATTTTCTTTCCATAATTAGATCAATTAAGTAATGGAGACTCTATGCAGCACAGGACCCAGTGGAGCCTCTTGTGGCTGCATTGAGAGTCAGCACCCCCCAACATCATGTCCAAGGGAGCTTCGACAATCCCAGGTTTTACTTTCACACGTGTGTGTGTGTGTGTACTGTATATGTGAGCTTGCATTTATTTTGAGTATGTATGTGGATTTGCTCAATTAGAGAGCTGTTTAGTTGGGGGGGGGGGGTCTTTAATCGGGGGCGTCTGTGTAGCACAATATCAGAGACCAGACACTATGAAGCGACGTGTCCTCCATGTGTGTCCGCCTCGTGTTGTGTTGTCCTCCCTCAGTTCAAACTGAGCTGGTGAGTCTGATCTGTTTTTGAAAAGGTTGACTTGATAGAATAAGGGCCTGGTCACACGTACCCAAATGTTTCAGTGGCGAACCTTCGCCTCCCGGGGGCGAATAGAACATGTGCTTCCTGTGGCTCCGCGTGGAGAACAACCTTGGTGAACTTTGACCTGCGACCTCAGTGATGACCCTTCACAGTGGCTTGATGATATTTGGCACTTACAATGATGTGCTCATGCAGAACTTAGTGGACGTCATTGATTAGTCAATTCACTGTAAATACAATGGTCTGCTGCATTAATTTAAAAACAATGTTAATACTCCGGTTTGTTTTTTGAGAGTTCCTGATCCTAGGATTTTTCAACAATGCTTCAGGTAACTGTCGGATGATTTGAGATGATTATTAAATCCCAGACTTTTAAGCTATTTATTCTTCATTCAGTTTAGTCACGAGGCTTCTGGTGAAAGAATATGAGCAATGTTGCTTGAACCAAGGGGTCATATGAAGATGTTCCTTCAGGATTTATGTATGCAGCAAACCATACTTGAATTCAACCCCCTGCCTGTGCTTCTCTTTCAGACTGTAAAGTTCCAGTGTGGAGACAGGGGGGGTGGGAGGGGAGGGGAGGAGGGCAAAGGGCTGGCAGAGTTGAAGATAGCGATGATGCACAGCGGACTTGGGATTCAGGCATGTGGCGCTCGTTGTTTGTGTAACTTGCCAAGGATGCAGATCATGCATGGTTAAAATACCCGAGCGTAAGAACTGTGGGCCCCTCGTCTATTGATGTCACACAGTCAGCGCGGGGCCACGGGATTCCTGTCCCATTCGTCTGAGCAACTTTTGTACCAAGGTCGGAGATGCAGACCGCCTGGGCTCTGTGTAACCGACACGTTTTCTGGCATCTTTAACCACTTATCATTTTGCGGAGCTTGGCACCTGTGGGGATATTTTTCAAGAACGGTTGTCTTGAAATGTGCAATGCAGAGCGGGTGTGTTTGTGATGCTGAAATGCTGTGATCTTGACTTTTATTTTGAAATTTCAGCACTTGACCTGCAATACTCTACTGTAAATAGCGAACTACCAGGCCAGCTTGGTGAAATATGATTTAGAGAAAGAAGCAAGACTCTCACTGATATAGCTCCTGTCTTATCATACAGTGTTTTACCTCATGCCCTGTCTGACATTACTGTAACGCACTGACAAAGTGAGCAATGGTTTACACGCCCTTTAAGCTCCAGCTTCTGTCTAGTAGCAGAGACTAATGTGCAGTTATCTGTGTGTGTGTGTGTGTGTGTGTGTGTGTGTGTGTGTGTCTTGTCATGTCATGTTCAGTTTCTGCCAAAGCAACAGTGGAGATGGTATCAGATCAGTTCGGTCAGGAAATAACAGGGCATTGTGTGTGTGCGAGCGGACGTACCGAGGATGAGGACGACGGGGATGAGAGCTGCTGCTGAGACCAAAGCACTGAGTGTGGTTTGAGCTGCTGGTGACTGGAGCTAAAAGGCCACGAAAAAAACAAACATGAATCAAACACTTCCAGGAAAAAAGGACACTTGAGTGAACATTGTGTGAATAATGTGATCCGAGAGAGACACCTGACACTACCAGGATGTTTTGTGATGATTTCTTTTGAGCACTGACACCACAGAACAATTGTGTTTGGGGGATTTTCTTTTCTTTTGGGGCCTCCAGCATGTTATTACTCATTTTGACTGATCAGCCTTTATCACGTCATCTGTAGGTTTTCCTGGGACGATTTCACAGCAGGGCTGATTTGTCAAAATGTACAAAAAGGTGCAATTTTATTAAAATGGAGTGCAATTTACTGAGCACGGGGAAGATGCTGTTTCCCTCTTTATGACAATTTCATCAAAACAAGACGACACGTGAGATCTTAGTTCTTGTTTTAATGACAAGCTTGTGTCGACTATTGTCTATTTATTTGATTTATCATGTTTCAGAGGACACTGTCAGCAAACCAATGGTAAAATGGCAAAGTCACAGTGGCTCCTCCAGACGAGCGATGCAATGATGTTGTGTGAAATGAACTTGACATTGTTTACACCTACAGCAGCGTAGCTTAGATTTGCTCAAGAGCTCGAGAACTGAACATCTAAAGGAAATATTACGAGTTCTGCAGCTTTTGCATGATTTCGGCAGAAAAAGGTCGTATGATGTGATGCAGCAGCGTCTGAGAGAAGGTGCATAGTTAATGGTGAAGTAAAATGTCATCTTTCTACATTAATCTTTACTTCTTTAATTCCCCTATGATGCGTATGGAGATCTGAATGGACGAGGTATGTGTCACCCTTTTTGATTAAGGATCCAGTGTCTGGATTTTGCCATTGTGATCATCAGACCTGTTCAGCTGGTTTTAAAATGTGTTGGTTCACAGGGAACTGGAGGTTTGTGGGAGGATCTGTCTGTGAATGTGTGTGTCTGTGAATGTGTGAGTGTGTGTCCCTGTGTGCCAGCAGCCTTTGTGTTTCTCTCTCAGTTTTCTATTCCTGCACTGAGGGGAGAGTGCTTCCTCTGAGTCCCCCTCCTCTTTTTTAACATATACCTCACCTTCTGCCTTAGTTCCGATTATTGAAATGATTGTAAATTAGTTTGAAACAACAGACTTCTCCAATCATTTTGTTTCTGAAAAAAATATGATGACGCGTAAGTAAAATACTATATTGCAAATGGTTTTCCTTTTATTTTTGTACGTATGTGCTGTGCACAGCAGTCAACTGTATTCCTGAGATGATAATTAAAGATGTTTTGTAAAAGCTGTTGTTCTTTTCTACTTTAAAGTCGCATGTTTGACGTCCTGCGTGAGTCTTGACCCCGAGTGACACAGACTGGACTCCAGAAGATCTGGGAAAGAAATTATGAACGAGGGTGAAAGTGTCTAACCTCGAGACGATGAGCTGGTGTGTGGCGCCCTCTTCTGGTGATGCTCAACAACACGTACAGTACTATGGCAACGTTTGAAGTAAATTTAGCTGAAAAAAGAAATGAAACAGAATTAGTGGAAACATTTGAGTTTTAATACTTTAAGTAACAGATGTAAAGAGAAATACATTTATTAGAGTTGTTGATTAAAAAAACTTAAGTCAACATGAAGAATAAACTTTTCAACATCACACACGATGCATGAACGTTTTTTTTCTCAACAAAGTCGAGGTTAAGGACAAAAGATGTCACATCTTGAACAGACGTTTAAGGTCTATGAGACAAAATTGTGATTTGTGAGTATGAGCTATTGAAATAAGATTTGATGAGGAATGAGCAAGGTTTTATATTTCATATTAATTTTAAAAAACAATAGGAAACCTGCAAAATAAAGTGATGCCCTACATTTCAGGTATTGGCTGTCCTCATCAATAAGTGAAATATTGCTGCTGCCGCCTTAACACTTCTTTACTGTGCAATTTTCTCCCAAAGGGCTCAACATTTCCAGTTAAGCCTCTCATAGTATGTCATTAATATGCGATGTAGTAGGCGTTTACATTTTCACAGCTTCTCTAAATACTGATTCATGTCCAGACTGTAAACATAAACCACAAGTTGCCCTGGTAGCGTCTCAAGAATGTGCCACCAACAGTATATAAAAACATCACACAACACTTGAATGTGTTGCTTAGATATTGTTGCCGTGGAGCAAAATCACTTACATCACTAGATGTCAACTTTTAAGGGACTTCATTAAAAGCAGAATTGTCAAAGGGACGTCCCCCAATGAGGTTACAACATGTTCTGGTAATGGATGCAGGGTATGCACATGTGAGAGGAAGGGAGAGGCTGCGGAAGTGTGTACAGTTAATTAATAAGCACTTTATGAGTCATTCACTTTGGATGTCCGTCAGCAAACAGTGATTCATACCTCAACGGTACACATGACAGATTCTGGTTTGTGGCATTGATCTGAGTTGACGCTACTTTCTAATTTAAAGAAGCTTCATTATTTCAAGATAAGAGGTGAAGTTTGTTATTGTCATTTCTTTTTCTTTTTAAAAAACCATCTCCATCAACCTTTCGCATCTTCTGCCTCATCCTCCTTATTCCTCTCCAGACTCGTTACAAGTTTAATCTTTATCAAAGATTTATTTTTAGGTTTGAACAAAGAATAGAGTCAGTGTTGTGCTTCTATCTTGGCAGAAATCGATTTCTTGATGTGGAGGTGCTGCCATTCAGAGCAATAACTAATCAAATTGTGTCTTGGTGGTTTGAGCTTTTAAGAACTGCAAGCAGGCAACCCTTAACCACGGATAAACAGGCCGGCTGTCAGTCATTTGGTCAATGAGTTAGCCAGTTTATTGACCCTGTGCTTAAATAGACCTGTTGGACTTTCTCCTCCTCCACTATCTGCCCGCACACACACCATCCTGAACACTTGCGCTGCTGAAGCCAAGAGTAAAGCGAGCACAGCATCCCCGCTGACCATGCACCCAGCTTTCTTCTCACTCCTCCTGACAGCCCTACATGTGTCTGTACTGGTGGATTGTAGACCGAGGCCCTGGGACTCACCAGAGCAGCGTCCGGACCGTCGAAAGAGCAGCTCCCACACGGGAACACACACAGAGACACCGGCTGGTCCGGGTCGGTTCTACTTAGAACTCAGTGGATCAATGAGAAGAGGCGTTCACACAGACTCTCTAGGTAAGTCTGTAAATATAAGTTCATTTTATTATAAATGAGTTCATTACTCTCAGAAAATGAAAAGCCTAATTGATATTCAATGCATTAAACTTTTGTCCGGTTCATTTCTCAGAGCAATATCATACTTAAAAAACATCTTAAATAAAAACAAAGTTTTAAAATCTATTTTGGATGATGTGTCCGAAGCATATTTTGTATTTCATCTACGCAAACAAACCGATTTCTTACAACCAGGAGTGTTCACGTTGAAACTTTTCTAAACTAAAAAGTGTCATATTTAAACCGGTTTTCTTACAGTTGTTTTGCCAGTGAGAACAGATACAAGCACCGTTGTGTCAATATTTGATTTGAGAAGAAAACGGTTTCTCTGTATGGACCTGAAGGGAAAGCTGCACGTCTCTGTGAGTATTTACTTTAGAAAACGCTTGAGTGAAGTAAAAAAAAATGGCTGCCGGGGAAAGCTGTGATAAATATACTGCATTTGTCTGCTTTTTTCTACCAAACAGAGACAAAAGGACAAAGCAGATTGCCTCTTCCAGCCCATCTGGTTCGATCTGAGAAACCACCGTGACGTGTTTTCCACTGCAACTGGCGGCAAACTGCTCAAACTGCAGGGAGCTGCTCACCGAGAGCAGACTGAGGCCTCCTCGGTGCAGCTGGAGATGTTCCTGGGTCCCTTGGTGAAGAGACAGAGGAGGAGTGAGGAGGTGAACCCCTCTGATCCATTAAGAACACATCCGCTTCCCCCACATTCCGCCAAAGATCACAAGGAGACGTCTCACGGGCAGCCTGAGCAGGACCAGGCCGGGGCCGTGTCCAAAGAGACCATCACCTCCTGCGACGACCCCCTGAGGGTCTTACAACACAACGGGCCCGTCAGTCCCGTCAAGACAAACATCGCAGACCGGGCAGAGCAAGACTAAGACACTGAACTTTATCAAATGAAAATATCAGGAGGGGGTGCAGGTCTCTATGGTTGTTCTGAAAACTCACTTAATGTTTGTTTGCATGACAGACGCAGGTAGATTCCTCGTCCTGCAGCGTCAGAGCCACGTGACGACTGACAGAGGGCTGGAGGAGTCAGGTTCACGTCAGAAGTTATTTCCAGAGAATTCAATATTTCACAACTTCTGAGAAAAGAAAGCAATTTATCAAACCCTTGAATTGTTTTTTGATTTAATGGAGCTATTACACGAGCTAATGGACTCAAACCCTGTTACATCACAGCGCCTCTGTTTGAATAGCAGAAAACATTTGACATAATCATGGGGCAGGTTTGGTCCAGTGTCCTGTCGTCCTTTAACCTCTTATGTCGGTTAAACTTTAAACCCCGGACCAGATGTGGGGCAATGTTTATTTTGCATATGTAAAAATGTATAATCTGTTAGTAATTATGAATATTTATACAGAAATCTGTTGGGAGGGATAAAAAACAACCAGTGCATGTTGTTGTTACTGGAAAAAAATGTATTCATTCATTAACAGGAGCCAATTATATCAGGTGCCGGACACCAATAGTCGCAGAAATAAAAAAGCTATTTATTTATTGAAACGTGTTAAATGACCTGCTTCCTAGTCTACTGTTTTATTATTTATATATATCATGTTGTCTTATTTCTAATACAGAAAAATAAATGATAACTATTCTGTGGATTATTGTCTATTTATTTATCAGTCCAGTGACATGTTTGAAACCTGCTCTGAAACATCTGCTCTCTTTCGGCCTCGTCCCCACAATTTTCTAATTCACCACATCACCAAGAAAAGAAAGATCCCTGCACACTTCGGGACAAATACAAACTAGAATGAAAAAAGATTTTCATGAAATTCTTTTAAAACACAGTCTAACAGACTGGTATGTGCCCCAGAAACATTTAAGGTGATTGTGGTGAATGTATCAGGAGGAATTTGAATTATTGGAGATTAACATTTGAGCTGTTTGAGGCCTCAAACACTGAGAACTGCACCAAACTTACTGGAAACATTTAAGCACAAGCTTTTTCCCTCCAAACAATTCAAAAATAAATCACATGACTAATATACACACAACGTATTGGTTATGTAAGAGGTAAATATTAGGCCTGGACAAACATTGTCCAGAAGAAGTGATGCATTTCAAATAAATATAAATGAAGAAGCATATTTACTGATGAGATATTTATGTTAGTTATGTTTTTAAAAATAAATAAAAATTGTGTAAAGAAGAAGAAATAAGTTTTAAAACAGTTTTATCAGGAGGAGACTTTTTTGGACAAATAACACAATGACACAGAAACACACAACAGCGACTCACTATTCAGGAGAGAGACGTGTTTGAGTCTGTTCTGTAAATTATTTAGTTTTAGTTGAGAACTGCAGTAGAGAAACCGTGCACAGATGCTACAGGACAACACACGAGGTGTTGACAAACGAGTCCTTGTGTTAATTCATGAAAAAGTCACTGATTTCCAAAAAGTCAACACTGCTGCCGCTCTGTTGTTTTCCTTCGTTAAAGAGATGAACGGCAGGGAGATAAAAATAGAAACACCGACTCACAGAGTTTCCAATTTTGAGCAACCACGACCAACACAAACTATCTGAGGTTAGAGAAGGGGAATAAAGCAGATTTTAACATTAATTAATACTTCATATCTAGGACATTTTGAAATTATTGAATAATGTTTGATAAGATATCGACATTATCAAACTAAATAATTAACAATAATTGTTTTTTTTATATTCCTGTGTTTATCCATTAAATTCCAAATGTGAGTGAACTGTACACTCAGAAATATCAGCCAGTTTTCCATCAGGATTCATGAGTTATTCTCTGGGAAATCAACAGAAATGTAAAAACAAAAATCTCACAATGCTAAAGAAAGTGAAAAAAGAAAAAATCCTGGATCTGCACCAAATTTCTGTCCTGACCCGTATCACATCCTACCATCAAGTTCTGTGGTAATCCAGTAGTTTTCATGAAATCCAGCCAAACACAGACTTTACAAAGCCTCTTACTTACATTACTAGAACCTTTGACTGTCTCCACATATTAAATACTTTAAAAAAAATAATAATTTAAGTCTGAAGAGGTTTTTATTTCTTCCCTTTTTTTCTCCCACCGTCTCCTGCACATCCTTCCAAACCTCTGTCCTCCCTCCTCCCATCATTCCTCCCTCTGCTCCTACTGTTTAACAAGCTCTTTAAAATGGTCGCCCCTGTGGACGAACACACAGCGAATCCCTGACAATTCAAACCTGTTGTCCTCTTTTCTCACGGTCAGTATGAACCGACACAGACCCGTGTTGGGACTTATAGAGAACAAGTGTGCTCTGTCAGAACCCTCAGGCAAAGAACAATGCATCTCCTCCACAAAGTAGCGCACCACCACACGCATGTAGGCTCCGTGTGTGACGACCAAAGCATGGACCGGGACCCCCCTGACCCCATCGTCCGGTCTCCCCTCCACGGCAGGCGAGTACGTCTCGTCCTCCGCGCTGTGGTGCCAGTGTTCCGCCCCAATCTGCTGCAGCATTTTCTCCATAAACCCTTTGACCCGCTCCTTCACCTGAGCAGAGCAGAAGTCTGTTACGTGTGTCTTTTGTTTTCTTTCCACACAAACAGCAGAATGTACGTCACAGAAAACATGATTGCGTGCAGCGGTGAGGGATTAAAGTAAAAGGTTGTTAAATTCAAAACAACACAACACTGTTCCGGTCAAAAACCCACACGTCCACATGCCAACTCCAGTTTCACCCTGATGCAACAACCTGTAACTGGTGGAGGGGGGGGGGCTCTGGCTGACACGGATTGGGGCGCTCGGTGGCTAACGTCAAATCTATCTTTGTACGACTGCATCATCATCATCATGTGCTGGTCACGTACCAGAGTCAACGTCCGAGCCAAGATCTAATAGATGAAGCCTGACGAGAAGTCTCTGAAATACAACACCCCCCCCTCAACCGTGTCCTCCCACATGTGTGACACAGAGCTGAGTGACTTTTTAATCAGAGGCAGTGACGGACACTCTGCAATTGTTTGACAGTACTTTGACCCTGATTCACATTCCAGCAGATACATAGGAGACACAGAGATGCAAAGAGGCCTTGACGTAGCAGGTTGCATCCTCAGAGACAGTGGTCGGCAGAGGAGACGAGTGTTTCCTGCCACCTACTGGTACTGAGAGCACACTGCATCGGGGCACTGACACCACACTAATGTTAGTGGATGTAAACGTGCATGAGGATGTAGATGCAAAGATGCAGCATTTTCAGTTTAGACAGTTTTAGTTTCCAGCCGAGGATTATTAATATAAACACATTAAAATATGTATCTGCATCAAAGTTATACAGATAATAAATAAGTAAACTCCTGGTTGAAGTTGAGTCTCTGTCTCACCTGCTCCGGAGTCTCGCCCCCTGGTGGAGTGAAGCCTGGGAACGTCTGACCCGCTGCCTTGGCCATCTCTCTCACATCCTGCAGTAGTCCACCCTCTGCTATTCCAAAACTCTGGAAAACATCACGTCATTAACCGGATAACTCAGACTGTTCGTTTTCTAACGTAGACTGAGACGTCAGTGAAGACGTGCCACTCACTATCTCTTTGAGTAAAGGGTCAGGAGCCAGTTGGAGCGTAGAACAACTGCTGTTGTGTTTCATTATTGTTTCAGCAGTCTGGAAGAAAAGAAAACAGCCACCTCATCACAAACTGAGCCACAACATGGATAGAGAGAAGTAAACTGTTAGCAACCTAGTTTGCTCATTACTACAGAAGTGAGATAGTTTAGAAATAAGACCAGAAGAGGTGGTTTAATTTATATATGAGAAATTAATCCCGATGTGAATCTACCTGCTGGGCACGCTGCATATCACTGACGTACACGTTGCTGAACTTGACGTCTCTCAGGTAGAGGCCTGCAGCTTCGGCCTGCTGCAGCCCGACCTCAGAGAGAGGAGCATCTATAGCCTGACCTGGGTGATGGAGGAGGAAAGTACTGATTATAAGAAAAAGAGAAAATAACTGCTTTCATCTTCTTAGCACAGATATTCTGAGTCGTACCTTGTAGACGACCTTCTTTGTTGTAACGTGTTTCCCCACTGCAGGAAATACAAAATGCATCAAAATGTAGGAATTGATTCTTTAAAATGCCAGAAAACTATGAAAGTCTTTTTTCATAGTTTTCTGATGTTTGTTTCGATGTTTGTTTAATAATTCGTTTTTTTCTGTCTAATTTCACAAGTTTATGTGTGTGTGTGTGTGTGTGT